GGCAACGGCACGGCAAGCGCATGGCAACAGCATGGCAACAGCAAGGCAACGGCCCGGCCACGGCACGGCAACGGCATGGCATGCGCCAGGCAACGGCATGGCAACAGCATGGCAGCAGCATGGCAACGGCATGGCAGCTGTATGGCAATAGCATGGCCCGCCCACACCTCCGCCCACCCCCCCTCCGCGTCCCTCCACCCTCCCCGTCCGCACCCCCTCGACCCCCCCCCGCCCACCCCCCTCCTCTACCCCACCCACCCCCCTCCGGAGCCTCCCAGAGGGCCCCCATGGCTCCCGAGAGTGCCCCGACAGGGCCTCAAGAGACCCCCAGGAAGCCCCCTCGAGGCTCCCGAGCGGCCCCTCAGAAACCCCAGAGGCTCCCCCGAGGCTCCGAAGACGCTCGCAGAGGTCCTAGTGACAGCCCAGAGGCCCCCAAGACGCTCCAAAAGGGCTCCGAGAAGCTCCCGAAAGACATCTCAAGAAGAGACTCCGTGGGAGCATCCAGACGGACTCTCGCCCTTCTGCTCGCCCTCCTCGTCCTTATCCGCCTCTTCTTATCTCTTCTCCGTCCTGCCCGTTCCTCCTTTCTCCTCCCCCCCCATCCCCCACCTCCGTGTCCTCCCCCATTTCCTCCGGTTCATCCTCCATCTTCCCCCCGTTGGGGTATGAAGGCTTCCCGAGCCTTCTTGTTTTTCTGTCTGCCCCCTCCCCCCGCTTCCCTGATCAGGGCAACTCGTCTGGGCATCCTTGCTGGACGGGCTGGTGGGGATGCGCGAAGCGTCAAGAATATGGCGCAGGCATGGCCATAGTATGGCGCCAGCGTGCCATCTGTCTATCCAGCGCATATTAGGGGGCAAGAAGGAGGACAGCAGAGGGGACGAATCGGACATGGGGGACCACAGCATCACTCGAGTAACACATGCACTCCGCGGCGATGCTCGGCTGAGACTGACCAGTGGCTCAATATCGGGCAACATCCCAGAAGTAAGCCGGCAAGAAGAGGAGAAGGGAGGAAAACGAAGAAAGCAGGGCCGCAGAAAAGGCAAAACCGGAAAACCACACCAGAAGCCAGCGTAGTCCTCTTCTTCCTCCTCCTCCTCCTCCTCCTCGTCCTCCTCCTCCTCCTCCCCCCTCCAGCTTGTGGTGGTGGTGGTGGTGGTGGAAAACAGGCCCTTCACCTGCCGCCTTCTCCCCCCACTCGCGTGCTGCCGCCACTCGGGGGAGCGAGCGAGCACTGCGGTCGGAACAGTGTGTCGTCTGCACCGGCGGACGGAGCCAACCAAACGGGGGCACCGTTGCGGCGAGTTGTCCACCGTGCAAGAGTGGGGCGCAAACAAACCTACCTCGCTTTTGACCACCCCCGCTTCCAAGAGAAACCAAGCGACGCCAAATTGCAGCCTGTGCTGGTCAGGCCGCTTGACGAGGAGGCGCGTGGTATGACTTGGTTTTGCCTGGAAGCGAAAGCGGGGTAGGTAATTCACGCTCTGAGTTGTGGCGAATTGGCCACCGTGCAAGAGGGGAGAAGGCGGAGAAGGAGGCGGCCGCGGGGAGGGAGGAGCCGCAGTACAGTCGGAACAGGGATAAAGAGCGGACGGCACGTCGGTCATGTCTAATCGTGCTCATTTCTAGGTGTGCTCGTTTCTAAGTGTTCCTGGCCCCCTAGTGGCCAGGAAGAGGCCCAGGATAGAACAATTAGAACCGAAAGAACATTGGCCCCCAACATATCCAAGACTTTTCGAATAATTAGAACTGCACATTGTGTACATGTGCATGAGCCCTTCCGCTGGCAAAAAAAACGAGGGGGCAAGGGGTGGGAGACGAGGAGAGGGGAGGGAGGCGGGGGGGACAGGGGGCGTGGATGGAGGCAGCGGGGCAAGGAAAGGGCGACCGAGGCGGAAGGGAGCGGAGGGGGCCAGACGAGGGGAAAATGGGGAGGGGAGGGGTGGTGGGGAACAAGGGAAGAAGAGCATACTACAAGAACACGGGCCTCTCCGGTTGCAAACAAAAACTGAACATCAGGTCACCGAGGATGCCTTCCGAGGGGGTCACGCGACGTGAAATGGCTGGCCTATCTAGGAAGCCCTGGCGAAACCCCAGCCCGAAGCCTTAAACACTTAAACATTCAGCCTGGCCCTGCAAATTTGCCCCTACAAGTCCAAAGCTGTTCCCCAATAGCACTCGAGGGTACCATTCCCTTAGCACTAGAACAAATACACGCAAGTAAGAACCTCAGGTGCCCTCCCGCAGCCAAGCATGCTCTTACGCCCCATTCCGATACAGCCATCGTACTGCCAGAAGAAACGCTGAAGGAGGAACAGAGGGGCAGTTTCTGGCCACGGCGAGCATCGGCCACCAATGGGCGGCGGGCCTGGATCTTCAGTGCGGACGCGGCTCCGCGCAAGAAACTCAGCTCTGAAGTTGCCCGCGAGAGGCGCGACTGGTGGGAAGCCCAGGACAGCCCGAACGCAGCAGCTTGTTGAACGGCCGCGGAAAGCCACCGCGCAGCGCGCGGAGCGAAGAAACCCAGGGCACCCTGACGAACAAACAAAAATGTTTCTTGATGCGCGCGCCCACTGCAAGGAACGACCCCAAACCCGGAACCCCTCCACCCCCCAAAAAGAAAGGGTTCTTTCTAATTCAGCGCCAGCATGGAAGAAACAGGTCCTGAAGGAAACGGGTCCTGGGCCCGGTGGCCTTCCCCCGGGACGCATCATCCGTCCCAGTCCGTTCTCTGATAGTCCCGGGGCCCGTGGAGGACCCCGAGAGCCTGAAAACTACCAAAAACCTCAAGAACCGTCTCCCTCAGGACCTGCTTCCCCCATGGCGACCTCGGCGAGCCGAACAAAATGGGGGCGGGCCGCGGCCGGACCGCCAGACCTCGACCTCCGAGGTGCGAGGCTTGACAGGATTGAGGTTCAAGAACCGAAGAGATGGAAGATGCAGGATCGAGGTCCGAGGACCGACAGGATCGAGGTTTAAGGCTTCCCCCTATCAAAAACGGCATGAACAGAAACTTCCGGCGCTCCGCGCGGATTTCTTGGATCTGCGCTGGAACCCCCGTATATCTGGCGCGCGGGCTCGCGCCCGGGACGGCTCCGGAGGCGCCGCCAGGGGGGCCCCGCGCAGACAATTTGTTCGTCTTCGATTTCCCTCAGGGCCCGCTTCCCCTCGCTCCCTAGGCCCCTGCGTTTCATCCTGCATCGCTTTTGACGGTCCTGGGGCCTGGCGAGGGCCTCTGTAGGCCGAAAATGGTCAAAAACCTTCCGTCGTGAATTACTTTTACTGGGGTCACCAAAAAATGCCGATACCGCTGCTCCCCAGACCTCTCCCGGGTCGCGTCCTGACCCGGATTTCGCGGCAAATCCAGCGGTGGCGACGAGGGCCGAAAAAGGTCACTGCACCGACCGTGCAGACGTACTGAAGCGGATGTTTGCGTGGATGTCTGCCAATGCAAAACTCCGAAACGGCGAATGAAAAACAAAAAACATGTCACGTGGACTTTTTGTGGTCTTCCCTCCTGACCAAAACAACTCCGCACGAACTTCACTTCGAGATCCGGAGCGGAATTCTTCAGGACACTCCGGGTCCATCCCATGGTTCTCCACGGAGGGGCAGGAGGGACTTTCATTGCTGTCATAGTGCATTTGATTCGTAAGGCATGCAGTAGAATTTCACACACAGGCATGTGCGTAATGCTGTCTGCCCGTAGCTTTTGGCTCTCAGTTTGGAGGGAGCTCAACAACCAGTCCACCATCCCAAGAAGTGGGGGAGCCAGAACAAACTAGCACCACAGTGCAGATTGACCGCGAGGCCACACAAGAGGGGGTCCATCCCACGGTTTTCCGAACGGAGCCCGCTCTGCGACGTTGACGCCATGACAGCGGGCGGGGGGGAGGGAGGCGTCCAGCTCCGCGTCCCTGGCTGCAAGGACGGGAGCCAGGGCAGGGCGCCGCAGCAACGATAGCGCAGAAGCGCCGGCTAGGCCCCTTTGCCTCGGGTCGGGCATGTCCCACTAGAGGCGGACTTTGAACGACAATTCAGAAAATACCAACCAAAACATGATTCAACAATTTGTAGAATCGTGCCCTGAATACGCATCCACATGTAGATGCGCGGGAAAAAAGCCCAACCTATATTCGCCAGAAACTAAAAAGTCGAACGCATTTCTTGGCTAGTTTTGAACATTCTCCCTGTAGAAGGACGCGCCAAACATATCTCCTCCCCCTCCTCCCCCTCTCCCTCCTCCGCCCCCTCCTCCTCCTCCTCCTCTTCCTCCTGTTCCGCCTCATCCTCCGCCTCTTCATCCTCTTCCTCCTCCCCCTCCCCCTCCTCATCCTCCTCCTCCTCCTCCTCCTCCTCCTCCTCCTGACTCCTCCTCCTCCTCCTCCTCCTCCTCCTCCCCTCCTCCTCCTCCTTCTCCTCCTCCGCCTCCTCCGCCTCCTCCTCCTCCTTCCTCCTCCTCCTCCTCCTCCTCCTCTTCCTCCTCCCCCTCCCCCTCCTCCTCCTCCTCCCTCCTCCTCCTTCCTCCTCCTCCTCCTCCTCCTCCTCCTCCTCCCCCTCCTCCTCCTCCTCCCTCCTCCTCCTCCTCCTCCTCCTCCTCCTCCTCCTCCTCCTCCTCCTCCTCCTCCTCCTCCTCCCTCCTCCTCCCCCTCCTCCTCCTCCCCCTCCTCCTCCGCCTCCTCCTCCTCCTCCTCCTCCTGTTCCTCCTCCTCCTCCTCCTCCTTCTCCTGGTGATCGAGCCCCCGCCTGGCGTCTGGGACGCGACACCGTCTCCGCGTCGTGCGAGGCTGACGGCTGTGGTGGAGCCGAGCTCGCGGCGCTCGAGAAGCAGGTCACACGGGCGAGGGCGGCAGCCTCCGGATTGCTGGATGGGAGCCCGCCCCAACCCCCCCGTGCTGGACCAGAAGCCCAAGAAGGACAAAAGGGAAAAGGACAAGAAGGACAAGAAGGACAAGAAGGACAAGAAGAGCAAGAGGTCGTGCATTTCGCCACCTACGGAGGTCAACTGAACAGCGACTCCGACGGTGAGGACTGCACCATGGACGAGCTCCGCGAGTGGTACGAGGACGGCGGCGACAAGGGCTCCGCGTACCAGGCAGAGATCAGCAAGGACCAATTGGAAGTATTGACCTCGTTCGGGGTGCCGGATGGGAGCTACTTCATCGGAGTGCGCAGGGGCAGGAAGGTGGTCAAGGTGTTCGACTTCATGGGCCACCAGCTGTCCCTGACGAATGACATCGAGCTGAACGTGGGCCAGGAACAGGATGAGGAGGATGAGGAGACGGCAGCAGGCATCGGCGGCGGCAGCATCGGCGGCTGTGAAGTCGGAGCTACGGGGAACATCTTCGGGGATACGTGGATGAATGGCGAGGCGGTGACGGCAGCAGGCATCGGTGGCGGCGGCATTGGCGGCTGTGAGGTCGGAGCTGGGGGGAAGATCTTGGAGGAGACGGAGTTGGACGGCGAGGCGGTGACGGCAGCTGGCATAGGCGGCGGAGGCGGCATCGGCAGCGTTGAGGTCGGAGCTACTGGGAAGGTCTTCGATGAGACGGAGATGAACGGCGAGGCGGTGACGGCAACAGGCATCGGCGGCGGCGGCATTGGCGGCTGTGAGGTCGGAGCTGCAGGGAAGACCTTGGAGGAGACGGAGTTTGATGGCAAGGCGGTGACGGCAGCTGGCATAGGCGGCGGCGGCGGCGGCGGCATCGGCGGCTGTGAGGTTGGAGCTACTGGGAAGATCTTCGGAGAGTCGGAGATGACCGATGCGGCGGTGGCTGCGGATAGCTCGTTGGAGGCTCCAGTCTGCGGCATTGCTGGCAAGATGGAGGATGAGAGCGACGATGACGAGGTGTACGAGTTCGGGGTGGAGGTCAAGAACTCGTTCAGCCCGTTCGTGGAGGGCGGGGGCGAACTGAAGGAGATTCCACCGTTCCCCAACCTTGTCGGCAAGGCTGCGCTGGCGAGCGCGGAGCGGGGAATCGAGTTCGGCGACGACGGCAATCAGTGGCGTTACGACGATCGCGGTGCTTTGCAGAAGGCTGTGCAGGCGGGCTCAGAGAAGTCCAGCGCGTGCGGCGACGTTGGCAGGCAGGACGAAGGACACAAGCATGACATGTATGATCACCTGTCCACCGAGGCGGCCGTCGCGGAGGCCGTGAAGCACTTTGGAGTCGAGTGGGCCAAGATGCACTTGAAAGAGGAGTGGGTGAGCACCTACATCGATTAGCGCGGGGCCGCCTGCCCTGTGCTGGCTCGACGTGTGGTGAGACCCTCGGTGGCGGGTCTTCTGGGGGCGTCTCGTCGCCTTCGCTGGATTCGCTTCGTTTTTGGGCCGTTAGGCCGTTTTCCGCTCGGGGCGGTTCGTCGCCACTGGGCGCTTCTCGGAAAACTGGTGCTTCCGCCGAGCTGTGGCTCGCGCGGCTTCCCGGGCTCCCTGCCATGGCTCCTGCCAGGCGGCAGGAGTCGTAGCGGGCAGCCTGTCTGATGTTTTCGCTGGGCCATTGGGTCCGGCATCCGCTGCTCGGCATTGGCAGGGCGGCGCGGCCAGCGCGCCAGGGGGTGAAGACCCACCCCGCGTCATCAGAGCCCTCAGAGCCCTTCCTCCTCCTCCTCCTCCTCCTCCTCCTCCACGTCCTCCCCCTCACCCTGCCCCTCCTCCCTCCCCCTCCCCCTCTCCCTCTCCTTCCTCCTCCTCCTCCTGCTTTTCCTCCTCTTCCTCCTCCTCCTCCTCCTCCTCAGTTCCTTTCCCTTATAAACAACTTCTCCCTGTCGCACTCCGAGGCCAGATTTGAGGGCGAGCTGGGCGTTCCGCCTGAGACTTCCTCGCCATCTATCATCCTGAAGCATAACCAGTGGCAACAGCTCCACAGATGGAGGGCGGGTGATTTTTAAAATGTGGCTCTCGCCTTAGCGCCGCGCGCAATCGTTCTAAACATTTACAAATGTTTCACGGGTTGAGGGTGGGTTGTTTTCAGCATGTGGCTCTAGCTTTGGCGCCGCGCACATTCGTTTTCAAACTGTGGCTCTCGCCTTAGCGCCGCGCACAATAGTTTAAAGTATTTGCAGGTGTTTCACGGATTGATGGGCGGGTCGTTTTCAAACTGTGGTTTTCGCCTTAGCGCCGCGTGCACTCCTCTTAAACATTTGTAAGTGTTTCACGGATTAAGTGCGGGTCGTTTTCAAAATGTGGCTCTCGCCTTAGCGCCGCGCACAGTCGTCTTAAATCTGCCAGACTTTTACGGGTCCCCATGGTAAACGTACTAGAAATTGCGTTCTGGAAGCATTCAGGACTATGTGGGTGCAACAGTTATGTTGATTCGGTGTGTTGAAGTTCCAAAAATGGGGTTCTGGCACGATTCCAGGGCGTCAGGTTGACCCGTGGCATGGGAATCCCGAGTGTTTTGGCATGCTGAAAGGTCTTCAAACTGTTGTGTTCCAACGGGGCAGTTCCCTCAATGGAAATAAACCGCTGTTGGGGCCTATGCAGAGGAAGCTTGGAGGGAAAGTGAAATCCAACATCGTTGATGACTCCTGGGTTTACACTGGTCCTCCTCCTGCTCCTCCTTCTCCTCCTCCTCCTCCTCATCCTCCTACTGCTCCTCCTCCTCCCCCTCTTCCCCAACATCCCCCTCCTCCTACTCCTCCTCCTCCTCCTCCGCCTCCTCTTCCTCCTCCTCCTCCTCCTCCTCCTCCTCTTCTTCCCCCTCCTCCTCCTCCTCCTCCTCCTCCTCCTCCTCCTCCTCCTCCTCCTCCTCCTCCTCCTCGGCCGTTCTCCGAGGATGTCTCGGGCGACTGGGGCTTCCAGGGTCCCAGAACCGTACGGCGACGGACCCTGCGGTGAGGTCCTTGCGGACTTCGAGGTCGCTGCCTGGTTTGTCATCGCACGGGTCTGGGACCCCCAACGCACGGGGGGGCGGGAGAGCGGCACGCCGGAGGCAAAGGTACGAAGTGCGGGCGGGCCTCTGCGGACATCTTGGGCCCCCCTTCCCTCCACCTCCACCTTCCATGCCCCCCGACATCCGCGGAAAGTGCGGAAGAAGGCATCGAAATCCATGGAGACCTTACGAAACTCAAAGAAGCCCACACAAGTCACATCGAAGAAAGGGCGGAAGGTTAGGGCGGAAGGTCCGGAAGAACGACGGAAAGGGTTCGGGGGAGGAGGGATGATCTGCCAACGCGCTATTTCAGCGGTCAGCATGCGTCGGGCCATCTCGCTCATGAAACCAAGCTAATGGAGGGCCCGTCAACGCATCGAGCCTAAGATGCGTTCATATGTTTGTGGCTGGGTCTGAGTTCTTTGGGCCTTCCAAACAGAACATGGCTCTAAATGCAAAGCCTGGGGCAAGGAGGCTGCTCCTCTTCCTCCTCATCCTTCTACTACTCCTCCTCCTCCTCCTCCTCCTCCTGCTGCTGCTGCTGCTCCTTCTCCTCCTCCTCCTCCTCGTCCCCCTCCTCCTCGTCCTCCTCCTCCTCCCCCTCCTCCTCGTCCCTTTCCCCTCCCCTCCTCCCTCCTCCTCCTCCTCCTCCTCCTCCTCCTCCTCCTCCTCCTCCTCCTCCTCCCTCTCCTCCTCCTCCTCCTCCTCCTCCTATTCCTCCTCCTCCTCCTCCTCCTCCTCCTCCTCGTCCTCCTCGTCTCCCCGGTTCCTCGTCCTCCTCCTCCTCCTCCTCCTCCTCCTCCTCCTCCTCCTCCTCCTCCTCATCCTCCCCCCTCCCCCTCCCAAGGCGCGACCCCCCCCCGCGTGCGAGCGCGGTCGCGGAATCGCGCGGCAGCGCAGCTGGATAGCCGAGGGAGGGAGGATAGCTTTGCTCGGGCGAGGCTTACGCGACCGCTTACACCGCGGAGGGAGGTCGGAGACAGGATTGGAAGAGCTCTGCGCTTCCTGTGGCCTCTCGGCAACCTCTTAGGCCGTCTTGGGCCTCTCCTCGAAACGTCTTGGTCCGAGCAGCGATCCAGAGGGTCAGGATCCCTGGTTCCTCGGAAATCAGGATCCCGACTGCCCAACGATGGATTCGGGGTGTTGGCTCGGAGTTCGAAACCCTGGCACGCAGCGTGTGTTGGGCGTCGTCGAATGAGGGGGCTATCAATGGGGGGAAGAAGGGTGCAAGTCTCGGGCCACTGAAGGCGCCCATTTGGACCAGGGTCCCTGTGGGGGCCCTACGGGGCCTCTTTTCTGCAGCCCTCTCTGCCCCCCCCCCCCCCCTTGTCGCCCCCCCACTACGCGATGCCCAGGTGTGGCGCCCTCCGAACTGGCCCCGCCACAAGCCTCAGCCTCCTCGCGCTGCACGGCAAGCATCGGCAAGCAGCCCAGCGCACGACGATGGCAGCGGCAGTGGTGGCCCGGGCGTGCAGCGCTGCAGGGAAGTCGAGGGAGCCCGCTCTGCGCCTGAATCGCCTCCTGTCTCGCCTCCCCATGCGGCTCCAAGAGAGGCTTCGAGGATTCGAGGCTATGGCCAACACCCATGGCGTTCACTGGCGCGAGACGCTGCATGCGCGCGTGGCGCAGCGCCCAGGACCGCCGGGCTAATTCGACATGCGGGTAGCCTCCGTTCAGGCTGCGCGCTCCCCGCCCCGCCCCCCCCCCCCGTCCTTCTTCTCCGGCCGCCTCTCTCTCTCTGCCGCTGGGCTGCTTCGCTGGGCGAAGACAGTGTCCATGACGCTTAGTGCTTAGGTACACACGCCGAGCCGCCATGAACAGATCGCCCCTACTGAAATCGCCCAGCGGCTCTGGGAGAGGCGCTAGGTCTTCCAAGGAAGGAGCGCCACAAGGCCGAGGCGCAAGGGATATGGATAAAATCTAGCCCCTGAGGGCCAACGATTTTTCCCCATGTCCACAGCGCCCCTGGTTGCTGGGGAAGGAAGCCCGAAACTCTAAGTGGATGCGGATATGGATGCACGTAATGCTCGCAAGACTGGGGGGTGCGAAGGCGGCAACGAACCGGCCACGGGGGCACCATAGCCGTCAAACCGACAGACAAGACCAGGAGAAGGAGGAGAAGGAGGAGAAGAGGCGGAAAGGAGGAGGACGAGGAGGAGGAAGAGGAGGAGAGGAGGAGGCGTAGGAAGAGAAGGAGGAGGAGGAGGAGAAGTAGGATGAGGAAGAGAAGGAGAAGGAGGACGAAGAGGAGGAGAGGAGGAAAAAGGGAGTAGGAGAAGGAAAAGGATAATCGATGTAAACCCAAGAGTCACCAACGGTGTTGGCATTAGCCTCCCTCCAAGTTCCCTCTTCATAGGCCCCTGCAACGGTTCATTCCATTGAATGAGCTGCCTCTTTGAAGAACAATCGTTTGAAGACCCTAAACCATGCCAAAACACTGTTCTCGGGATTCCAACGCAATGGATCGACCTGACTGTTGCGTCTTGACAATATGGAATCGTGCCAGAACGCTACTCCTGGGATTTCAACACAGCGAGCCAACATAACTGTTATACCCGCATAATCATGAAACCTTTGCAAACACCATTTCTGGCACGTTGATGATGGGAATCCGTAGTACGCTTGCAAATGTCTCAAAATAATGTGGGCCGCGCTAAAGCCACAATCACATCTTGAAAAAGAAAGCGCGTTCATTCCGTGACACTCTTGCAATGTTTAAAACGATGGTGCGCCGCGCTAAAACGAAACACATAGTTTGAAAACAACCCGCTTTCAATCCGTGAATTTCTTGTAACGTTTTAAATCGAATGTGCACCGCGATTGAGGTGAGAACCACATTTTGAAAACGAAACCGCCCTCTATCCGTAAAAGTCTTGCAGATTTCTAAAACGAAGGTGCGCCGCGCTAAAGCGATAACCACATGTTGATAACCACCCGTTTTCAATCCGTGAATCTGTCGCACTTGTTTTACTCAAATGTGCGCCGCGCTGAAGCGAGAGCCACGTTTTGACAACGACCCTCCCTCCATACGTGATGAGGACGTCTCAGGCGAAATGCCTGGCCCGCTTTAACAACTGACCTCGGGATGCGACAGGGAGAAATAATGTATACGGAAAGGAATGGAGGCGGAGAAGGAGGAGGGAGGAGAGAGGAAGAGGTCCCTCCGGCGCAGGCCGCGCCTGGCTGCCGGGCGAGGCCTTCGGGCATCTCTGGCCGTCCGCCTCGGGCGCCGTCCGCGGCGGCTTGCCTGAGCGCAGCCCGAATGAGATACGAGGTAAAAGGCGACCACGACCATCGAAGGCGGGCCCTTTGGCCTTCCTCCTCTTCCTCCTCCTCCTCCCCTTCTTCCTCCTCCTCCCCCATCCTTCTCCCCCTCCTCCTCCTCGGCACGAAGCTAAAAAGGAAGGTGAGCAAGGTCCCCTCCGTCTTGCCAGAAATCAGGGGGGCCATCGGAGCGACAACTTTTTGTCACCGCGCCTGGGTTTGACAGCCCAGGCGCGGGCCAACGACAGGGCCCCCCTTAAAAACAACATCGCAGGGGACGGTGAAGCTGGCCACTCCCGACGAGAAGTCGAGGCCGCAAGGGCTCGGACAGGGGCACCCAGATTTTACCCTGGAGGTACCTCCCGTCTGCGACAGCCTCGAGCACCCGCGCACCCCAAACAGCCGGCTTGCCACTGCAGGGGCCTCTGAAAGCGGCGGAACCCCCCATCCCCCCCCCGCAGACGGCACAGACCAGCCCCTGGGCCTGGGTGGCCAAGAAAATGGGAAAAGCCTGGTACGTGCGATGACCCTCTCGACGGAGCGCGGCAAGAGCCGCGTCGGCCCGGGAAAGGATGGGCGGCACGACAACAGGCGGTGGCGACACAAGCACTTGATCTTGGCCTCCTTGAGAGCGCCGCGGGCGTTGACAGGGACATGCGCGCAATCGACGTCGGCCATCTTGCAGCCGATGCGTCCGACGCAGACAGTGAGAAACGACATCTAACGGTAGCACGCGCGAAAAGGCTCGGGGGCACGGGTGAACGCGGCGGCCTCTCTGGCCGCCCTGTCGGCGAGCGAGTTGCCTTCGCGCTGGCGCAGCGTGATCCGCCCCTGCTCGAAGTCGGCGGCAGAAGTGTGGGCCATGAGCTTGGACAACCGAAGCGACCCGATACCGCCTCGATCCTCGATGGCCGCCCGCGCCTGAATCCATAGGTCAGCCCATGCCTTGGCAGAGATGCGATACGCACGCCCTCTCTTGAAAATGCCGTCAACAACGAAATGCAAGTCTGTCCAGAAAGTGGCGCCCGGCAGGGCGGCTCGCAACGCGCGTGAGAGGGCCCAAGGCTCAGCAACATCGATGTTATGCCACCCCGCTCGTAGACCTCCAGCAAGGACACGCGCAGGGGGCAGCCCGTGCATGGTGCCATGCAGCAGTGGCCCAGCCGACGCTCTGAGCCTGAGGGGGCAGCTCGCTGTCGAGGACGCTGCCGTCGAGAAAGACGCCACCCTCGAGGAGCCCAGGGCCCCCCCTAAACCAGACCTCGCCAGGGCATCAGGGACGCGGGGCGGGGTGGGGTGGCAGGGGGGGCAGGCGGCGGCGCCGGCGGCCTCTCCGCGAAAAGGCGGACGGAGGGGTGACTGAAATTCCTGGCCATGCTCGCAGCGACGCCTGGGCTCTCGGCCTGGAAGCAGCCGCGTGCCCAGGACAGAAGAGGTGCTTGTAGGCTAATGTGCCTGGTGCGTCCCGGCAAACCTGGCACCCGCCGATGCGGAGAGTTGCTGGGCGGCTTGCCCGGCTGGAGACCGCTGACCGCCAGCCAGGACGGCAGCGACGTGAACCCTCTCGTGGGCCCCGAGCCACTGCTCGCATGCGATCGCAGTCGCGCGCATGGGTCCTCTCTAGAACTCTGGCTGCTCAAGGCGCGCGGCCGCGCGCCTCCAGCGCCGCTGCTCAACGACCTCATCAAGATGCCGAGCAAGAAGCTCCAGCGGGCGGGCTCGCGATGCCGAGCAAAAAGCTCCAGCGAGCGGGCGCCGCGCAACTGAAGGAAGGTCCTCTGATGGCCTTCCAAGGCGACAGGCGCCCCTCGAGCGCTCGCCCGGCCCCTTCGAGCCCCGAGACGAGCCCCCCCCCTGGGCGCCGGGGCCCCCGGGCCGCATACATAGGTGGGATCAACTGTTTTCATGCCCGTCAACTGCAGGAGAAGCGCGACACTGCGCCCAGAGAGCCTCTGATATTGCACGCCCGCCTGCAGGGGCCGCGCCTCGCACAGCTCCGCCTCCGAGGCGCCCGTCGCCCCCGCCCCGTCAGAGGTGGGGGCCTGGGCGGCCACTCGGGCCATGTTGGGCACCTGGCATGTGCGAAGCTTGCCGGCGAGCGAAGCAATAAATATTTGCCTGGAGCGCAACAGCGGCAATGCGTCTGCAACGCGCGGTGGCCCCGCGCATTACGCCACCAGCCGCGTAGTCGACCCCGGGTTTTCGCGCAGACTGGACGGCCAGGGCCCGACTAGACGGGGGCGCGGCAGCGAGGCTCAGCCGCGGGCGGCGGACTGGCAAGTAAACCTTTTCTAGCTCGCCGCGCAGCACGATAGTAGCATGAGCGCGACGCTGATGGACGCGCTGTTCTGGCCCGACTCTGCGAAGCCCAAAATCATCAACATAGCAACTATCTGGACATCTATGCGCGCGCCTGGGAAACGCAGCTTGCGCAGCATCGCGGAGGGGGGTGCACGACAACATGTAGACAGAAAGAGGCAAACTGGCAACGCGCGAGCACCGCCTGCTGAGCGGTGGCGGGGCCAGAGTTCGCAGCTGCGCGCTCCAACGCCCGCGGCGCCCCGCGCGGCGAGATGAGCAGCCCCAGCTGCATCGGATGGGGGGCTGGAGCGCCTAGCTGCTTCCAGCAGGACGCCATGGCGCATGTTCTCGAAGGCCTTTGTAGGCCACGGAGCACCGCGCCTGCGGCGACCCCTCGCCCCATTGCCCACTCAGAGGTGGCAGCTTGCATCCGAGCGGGGCGCTCCGACTCCCTGCCCGGCGCGGGCCGCCAGAAATCGCATGAGTTCCCGCGCCGACACCTCCGGGGCAGAAGGCGGCGGGCGCGCCCCCAGGCGCGCGCGCGGGGCAGCGCAGCGGGGCTCATGTCACCAGAGCGCTCCTTTTTTGGCATATAAAAAGCCGCGCTTGCGGCCAGCGAATGCGCCCTCGACGCGCAGGATCCGTTGCCGAAGGCGCTGGGGTCCTTCATCGGCGAGCTCGTCGAGCCGCCGAGGGCCGCTCTGATCAATCCAAGAGCCGCTGGCTGACCTGGGAGAAAGCGAACGCTCGCGCAGCCCAGAGCGACGGACATCTGGCAGCGGCGGACTCGCGCCCGCTGGCCACTGCGCGCTGTCCCAAGAACCCCCCGCGCGCCAGCGCCGACCCCGCTCGCCCGACATGAGCTGCACCTCCTGCCCCCGCGAGGCGGGCGGCGCAAAGACTGCGCCATCCTCTTGAAAGCAGGGCCGGGGTGTCAGGGCGCGACAGGCTTTGGGCGACCCTGGAGAGCACCTCCACCAGCGCCGCCGCGGCTGCGGACGCGCTTTCTCCATTCTCGATCGGGGCGCATCTCGTCGCGCTACTGCCGACGATCGGCAGCGGCCCGAGCTTCAAACGTTAGCAAATCGGCAACCGCGTCCAGAGTGACGCACCAGGGCCCCGCATGGGCCGACGGGGGAGAGCCCGAGGGCCGAAGCAGCTGCTGGCAGGCACTGAGGGTGGCCCCCCGATCAGAGGGCTTCAGAGGGCGAGAGAGCCCCTGCAAGACTTGGCCGAGCGCGCGAAACCAGATGGCAACAGGCGAAGTGCGCGGGTACAGAGGCTGCTTGACTGGTGGCGCCTCGCGCCTGCGCGCGCGGGGCCCCTCTGCGCGACCAGCGCAGCTGCTGCGCCCCCCATCGGGGATCTGGTAGATCTCGAGGAACTCCTGCTCTAGAACGGTGACGAAGCGCTGCTGGGCTTCCCCGCAGCAGCTGATCCTTCGACCAATGCACGAACTGCGCGGCAGCGATCGGACGGGCGATCACACCCATCAGGCCGTCGGCGCGGAAACTGCACGGGGACCATGACATGCGGGAGGCGCGGAGAGGCGCTGGCATCCTTTAGCGTGACCTGGACTGGCTCGTGGTCATTGGTGCAGGCGGCGGCGAGGACGCGTACATGGGCTCCGTGGTGCGAACCCTGAAAGGCGGCGAACCAATCTGGCGTGCGCACGGCGCCCCGGGAGCATGTGGCGACGGCAGGCGCCAACAGCACTGCGACGGACGTGTCCGCCCAGCCCGATGATTGCACTTCATCGGGAGTCATGCTCCAATCGCCTGATGCCACAAACGGCATCCCGCAACGATGCGAAATGCCTCCCAGCATGGCCACTTGTTCCACTTCTGCGGCGAGAGACCCTACGAGTCATGCAGGTAGACATTCGTCTATAACACACCACCAGGCTGCCAGACTGATGGGTAGAATATGCTAACCCGCGCGTCGGCAACACAGAAGCTCTGACCAGGTAGTTTTGCCATGCCGATTCCCCTTTGCACCATATGGAAGAAGCAGCCAGAGGTGCCACCTGTAGGGGTAGTGTCAGCCGCTAAACCTTTGGCCGACCATCCCAAGTGACGTAAACGAGCCTCCCAGGCTTGGACCTGTGCAAACTGATGTTCCTGAATGACTAGGGCGGTACCACCAAGCACACCCTGACACTGGAACGCGCATTCGAGACCAACGTGCCCTGTGACGCTGGCCGTGGTGCGCGCCCTCTTGGCCTGGTGCTCCTGCGTGGATTTGATGAGACCGTGCAAGAGTTTGCGCGAGAGGCCGTGTTCCTCAGGAGCAATGCCGCTGGCCTCGGCACCTCGCTCGGCATCCTCTGCGGCGTCTTCGGGGACGGCGAGGCCTGAGGCTGCTGAGAACTCTCGGAAGAAACCGCTGTCGAGGTCGGTGAACATGGACCAATCTGGGGCTGGAGGCATGAGGACGTCGGCGTGCCCGGGCTGCTGCTGCTGTGCACCGTCGCTTTCGCCCGCCCCGCCAGCCCCAGCGCCAGCACCAGCAGCAGGAGTAGGCGTGCCGCCCGTGGGGCCTGCAGCCCCCCCTGGCCCGCTGGCCAGCGCGGGCTGGCCAGACGAGGGAGCCGCGGGGGGGGGAGGCCCCACGCGCTGCGCAGCCGCCTGGACGAACCCCTCGAGCTGGGCGGCCTCCTCTGGCGCGGACTGCTGCAACGCGGTGACGACGTGCTGCGTTTTCTGGATCGCCGCGGCGGCCGGCCGAGATGCCACGGTGGCCATGGCGCTGTAGACCGCGGCAGCCTTGGCGGTGGCGGCGTCGGCCTCCACCTTGAGGCGGTCGAGGTTGTGCTTGCACTCTGCCATGTACGCCATGGTCTGCGCAGCGGCGGACTGAGCCTTGTCGTACTTTGCCAGAACCTGGCTGACACCTTGGCGCAACGCATCGGTATCCTGGCGAGCGGCATGTGCGGCAGGTTCGGGTGCACCCGAATCGAGCTCTCTCTTGCTGACGACACGGCAACATGCTTGGTGGAGAGACCGAGCGAAGACGAGAGGAATGTGAAATCTTCCTCGGGCATGCGGGCATAGATGGCGACGAGAGCGTCGGTGAGCTGCACAGCATGGCCCTTGGACGGAACGTCACGAGGTGGCGGCCTCTGGGCCCAACTGCCCGGCGCGCCTCCTGCTGGCTTGGGTTAGGTGACTCCGTGAAGCGCGTGTTTGCATACGTCAGACGTAGCCCTCCAAGAGAAATTCCCTTTGTAGCCGCACCTCTTGTTCGGGCACGTCCAGTGAAAGAAACCATCCGAGCCGAACGTATCGGTAAGAGCGAAGCTACAGTACAGAAGGTGTGACAGCGCACCCGCTGGTGCAAAACTGGTGTAGCCGTGAAATCCCCTTGCCACAAACAAACTTTTGTCTTCGAGCAAAAAATGGCTACGGACCCCTCCTCTTCCTCCTCCTCCTCCTCCTCCTCCTCCTCCTCCTCCTCCTCCTCCTCCTCCTCCTCCTCCCCCTCTCCTCCTCCTCATCCTCCTCGTCCTCCTCCTCCTCCTTTCCTTGTTCCTGGAGCGCCTCAGGTGGATCCGCTCAAGGTCGGCCCCAGAAGATGAGCCAAAGACGAGGATAACCTCGGCTGGGGATCATTCGAGAAACTCTAAGATCTGGCGGGTCTGGAGGATGTCGGGCGCCGCAGCCTTCGCGGAGCGTTCTGGAACGCGTTCCGAGAGCGTTCCAGGAAGCTCCGGCACAAGTTTGGTTTCTCCTCGTCTTAGCACCGCCCGGCGAGGCGAGGCGAGGCGCCAACATACGTCCGGAAGAACGGCCTACGAGAGCACGGTGGTTGGGGCGGAACCCGGGATGAGCTGGATCCATGAGCGTAGGAGCTCGCTGAGGGTAGAAGCTGACCACAACGACGACGACGACGACGAACAACAAAAACCAAGACACATTGGAACAAAAACAGACGTACACTCCGGAAGAGGCCGGCCAATCGCCAGCGCACACGTTACACCATGCGTACGGAGAGCAGGAAGAGTGGGAGGAGAGACATAACACGAGAAACGCTAATCAATGAAGGCATGCGGATGAGGATGAGGAGGAGCACCAGGCGGATCAGGAGACGGAGGAGGACCAAGGAGGATGAGGAGGAAGAGGAGGAAGAGGCGAGGGAAGAGGAGGAGGAGGAGGACCCAGACGGCCCCTCCTCCCAACTGTGCGCAAACATGCCCTGCCTGGCCCTACGGCAAGCTCGCGTCGTGACGACGCCAGCATTGGTTCCTGCCACCGCGTGGATCGTGCAACCTTCGGCGACCGACGCCTTTTCGATTGCCAGATCGTCTCTTATTGGTCGTATTGGTCGATTTTGGGCCACCAGAAGCCATTCCAGACAGTCTGAGCCTCAAGACTTCCCTTCGTAAAACAGAGTGCGAACCCACGGAGACGCACTTTTCAGTTGAATAACGCAAGGAGAATGAGAACGCAATAGCAGCAAATGGGAACGCAACAGCAACAAACATGTGATGGGGTTTTGTTTTTTGGGGGTCCGTTCCAGCTATGCGAGAAACCCCTGCGAGGGAAACGGGCGTGTCGCGCGGGTGCAATGTCGCGGACGGATTTTGCCGGGCTGACCCCAGAGGCCGGCCACGCGGGCAGGGCATAAAGGCTCAGAACGAGGTACCACGCTCAAGTAGGGAGCATCCCCTAGCCAGGGCTTCGAATCAACAGCAATGTCTCCCCCAGGCAACAGTGTGATTCCTGTCGGGCGAGAACAGGGATCCATAAAAAATGTGAAGAAGACCCACGCGGGAGCCATTACAGTTGCACTCATCAAGTATAAAGATTGTTCCCCCCTGCTGCCCACGGCGATCTTCAATAAAAGCTCCTCCCTGGGCACCTCCAAAAGCAAGTCTTGAGGCTCAGATTGTGTTGTTGGCCCCCGGGCTTTCAAACACCAACGGATCCCGCCTGATGGTTCCGCATGATGTATTCCAAATCGCGCTCTCGCGCGGGATATTTCCAAGAATCGCGCTCTCGCGTGGTACGTCGCCGCAATGTATTAGGACGCGGCGCCCTCGACACTCAAGAATCACGCTCTCGCTATGGCCCCTTCCAAAGCTTTACTGGGACGTTCGCTATCGCTACAAAAGTTGCTGTGAGTCATGCAGGTCTCATGCTTCAGCAACCCGCCTGCTCGACCTGGCCGCCTGGGCCCGCCCTCCCGACGTCCCATCAGGGTCTACCCGCCCGACCTGCCTGCCCGTCTGGTTCTGCCACGTGCTTTCTTAGGTTCCCAATATCCCTCTTGTTAATGTGCGTGTCTCGCGTTTCGTCATCCGCGTCTTTTCCTTACGGGCTGCGAAAAATCTACGTCACAGGTACAGAAGATATATCGCCTAGCCGGTACGACCGACGACGAAGACGGCGTGTATCGCTGATTTGGGGTATACGTGTTGAATGGCACGCGAACGGGTAAAACCGAACAACATCAAACACAGCTGTTGCACCTGGGCTCCCTGCAATGAAAAAAATATGGTTGATCCCCTCTGGTAACCGATGCGTCGTTTCAATTCGCATGTCCCTCCTGGGGCTCGCACTCTTTCAACGCAAAACAACGGAACTGTTGTGCCTCGGGCTGGACCCCGCCCCCCAGTTTACAACAGCATCGGTTCCCACCTGTTATTCCCCCCACATGTTTCTCAACGTCGAAATGTTGGACTGGGCTTCCTCATAGTCCCATTAGCCTTTTGGGCCAAGGTGGTCTAGCGAGTTCTTAATTCTGACTGTCCTCTTCTGGAAGCTCATCGTCTTTCGGGGAACGGGACCCACCCTCTCCCTCTCCCCTCACATCGGGAAGGAATTGGAGGGGTGCCCGCCCCATCTCTCCATCCATCACCTTCTACATGCTGCTCTCGCCTTAGCGCGACGCGCATTTATGTTAAAAGCTTGCAGCAGCCTCGCGGATTAAAGGCGGGTCGTGCTTGCGATGTTGCTCTCGCTGTAACACTGCGCAAATCCGTTTACTGGTCATTCGCTCTGTAAGTGCGCAATGGTTTCAAAGATTCCCACGGTCGAAATCCCAGGAACGGACGGCACTATGGCAAAGATAAGCCGAACTCAAAAACATGTTGGTCTGCGGTGAAATCCCAGATATGGCTTTCTGGTACGGCTTAGGACTGTCACGACGCCACACTGACGTTGACTCGCGACGTTGAGGTCCCAACGATGGCGAACTGGCACGATTGAGGATTCTCAAGCGTTTGTTCATAATGAGGCACTTCCAGCAATGAATATGGATTCTTGTAGGGCCCTGTAAAACAAGAGAGTTTGGAGGGAACGGGTCTTGCATCACCGTGGGCGCATATTAGGCTTGCAGTGGTCAACAGCATCTTCCTCCTCCTCCTCTCATCCCTGTTCTCTCTTTCCCGCCCGTCCTCTTGTCCTCCCCTCCTTCTTTTTTTGCCTCCGCTGGGCGCACTGCAGGTGCAGACCGGTGCAGTCAAGGCCGCTCGCACACGGTCGAGGTTCTCTGGTGGACGCCTAGAGCGAACCAGGGGAGCGAGCTACCTCCCTCTGCTCCCCAGGCCGTCCCTCTTCTTCTTCTTCTTCTTCTTCCTCATCCTCGTCCTCGTCCTTTTCCTCCTCCTCCTCCACTTCCCCGCGGCTTTGCCGTCCCAGGCGCGCGCCCATCTCCGCGAGGAAGCGTGCCTGAGGGGGGCAGGTGCCCAAGGTGCCCCTGGCCTGTGGTGTTTCCAATCGGCGGCGAGAGAGGGGGGGGGGAACTGAGAAGGAAAAGACCTTCTCAGAAGCCCTCGCGTCTTCTGAGAGGTGCTCTCTGTCCTCGGGGGAGGCTTGGAAAACTTTTTCAAAAGGCCGGCAGATTTCTGATAAGGCGCGCCCCTTTTCACTTCCCCCCTGGCTCTCCGCCGACCCCAGCTCTCTGCGCTCTTCGGGCTTGGAGCCATCTGGACCTCTTCATGGGGGGCCTTACAGGCCATGCTCGGTGGCAACTCATGGGAGCCTCCAGTACCATGTAATTGGCTCATGCGAGCCTGCGCCAGTCGAAGCTGTTCTACGCTGAATCTACGCGAATCGATACCAACCGACGCTCAGTCAAAACTATCTCATCGATTGCCAGAAGACGGTGTTGCGAGGGTGAACAGGGCTCCCGTGATTTGCTACCGGATGAAAAGGGCACTATGACGTAGGGACCTTGCACCGCGGCCCACGCTGGCTGTCAGTCTGGCACACCGCGTGGAGAAGCGGGCGCTTACTCGAGACCTGACGCGGAAAGTTTACGCAGAAGGGCCCGTGCAGTCGACCCTGATGTCTTCGGCCGCTCAAATGGCCTTCCCTGGAGCAGTTTCGGATTCTTTGGGCCAAGGACGCCTTTGGCAACACGCGGCAGGAGGAGGAGGAGAAGGAAGAGGAGGAGGAGGAGGAGGAGTTCAGAATTGCTGGATCGGGTCTCATGTGCTGATGTGGTGGCGTTTGGGACGACAACGGGGGCCAGCACTGAGGAGAAGGCGGGCGACCAGGAGCAGGAGCAGGAGGATGGCGAGGAGACGGGGGAATTGCAGGAGCAGAATGAATGTAGGGACGTCCTGAGGGAGGACGCATAGGAAAAGAGGGAGAAAGAAAACACCCCATCCGCTCCCATCTCCTCGATCGTTCCCTTGCCTCCCTGATCATATTTATCCGCATAGTCGTCCTCCTCTTCATCATCATCGTCGTCATCGTCACCATCATCAGCATGATGATCATAATCGTCAACTTCACCATCGGCGTCATCATCAGATGCACCATCCCATCATCAACGTCATATCCATTAGTGGCCGCATGTGCACCGCCATCAACAATATCTACAATCTCGCCAACAGCCTCATCATCATCGTCATTATCACCATTCGCAACCGCATCACAATCGTCACCATAATCATCACACCCATCCACACCGACGTCATCAGCATGATAAACATAATCGTCACGATCAACACGATCAGCACACTCATCATCATTCTCCTGACCCGGAGCAGCACCACATTATCACCATCATCACCAAGAGCATCATCATCACCAACAGCAGCATCATCCGCGCAATCATCATCAGTACCAACATCCTCATCAACATCATCATCATAATCATCAATATGATCATTTTCATCAACCACGCGACCATCATAATAATCACTTAATCACCACCAACCTGCTATCCTACCCCGTCGCCGCTGACCCTCCACAAACAACATTCCTCCGTATCATCATCCGTCCTCCACAGCGCCCGGCCGATTCGACGTGTCAATCCTCCTCCTCAGCTCTCAATGATGAGGCTGAGGCAAGACGGGAACTGCTGATGAGCCCGACTGCACGAAGCTTTTAGCACATGTCTCTGCGAGAAACGTTTGGCATGGTGCTTCGACCGCCGTAACTTGTGCATGGTGCGCGGTCCACCGACACAGGGGGGCACAGCAGCGACTGGGTGGCGAAGAAGACCACCGCCGTTAGAACCGCAGTGGTACTGCATGACATGGGTTGCGAGGATGTTTGCTTGGGTCGCAAGAGCTTGAGCACATATGCGGTAGGGGCCCGACCACGAGAAACCTCCCACGAAAACCTTAACCCTGAAACCCCAGGACGGCCATTGATTCCTGGCGTGGGAAAGTCACGCCTTTCATCGCACAGTTCCCGAACCCCCAAAAGACCCAGGGCATTCTGGAGGCGAGCGGGGTGTGTCTTGGCGCGGGCTTCCACTGCACTCGCACAGGCGGCCCTCCCCCGCGAACCCACACACAGGAAATGTTCGACGAGCGTCCCCAAGAGCTTCGCCACCTCCTCCTCCTGCTCCTGCTCCTGCTCCTGCTAAGGCACTGCCGAGACACGACGCACACTCCACATGCAACAAATACTGAGACTACCAAGCGCTAGCAACGCGGCCGTACATCACCCGCGTCTGCTGGGCGGTGGGGGCAGCGCCCAGCGAGATCAGGTCGATGTCCGCTGCTGCGAAAGCGACCGCGCGCTCCAGGGCAGCCCTCCAACGCGGCGCCAGCCTGGGCGCAGCCCACTGGTCCCGCAGGGATTCAGCAGCGTGCGTGGCGAGGTGCTCCAGCGACCAGTGGGTCCCGGCAACAAGCCGCCCGTATGACTCCAGGGCGACGGTGAGCACGTCGCTCCCGTACCGCCGCCTCTTGTCGTCCACGGCAGCGTTGGCGGCGTCGCCCGGGCTCGCATGCGCCTGCGCATATCGCGCCGCGTGCGGGCAACGGATCGACCCGTCGATATACAGGGGCTGAACAGAGCCCGGGAACGTGACGACATCATCCATGACGGCCTTCTGGACGGCCCCTTTTGGCAGCACGCGGATGAGCTCTGGCACCGTGCGCTCGATGTCAACTTCCGCACGGCACTCGCGCAGGAGTCGGGCGAGGGCTGCTGCAAGCGCGCGGTGCGGGCGCATGCGCGCCGGCCACTGCTTGCAGAGCTGCGGGTTCTGAAGTGTCGGGCCCAGCCGGTGGCCGCATGCCTCGTCCGAGTTACTGGCCTTGCAGGGGAGGCGGCACGTTGCCCCCGGCGGCGCGCTTAGGGCCCCCTGCCTGCGTATGGTTGCCACGCGGAAGTAGGAGGACGGGAACCACTCCGCCGGCTTCGTGGGGAGCTGCATCCAAAGCGCTCCCGCGCCGGGCCCCCAGAGGATTGCAAGCCTTCCCTTCTCTCCTGGCCAGGCTCCTGCCACAGCCGGGTGGCGCGCACAGCGTCCAGGTGCCGGAAGGTGCGGCTGGCCAAGCGCCTGGGCGCCCTGGCGGGGACGCCGCCTGGCGACGGCAGCGGCAGAGAGGCCTCCAGGAGCAGCTTAAGCCCGCCCGGGTCATCATGGGCAACGTCCTTGGACCACGGGCCCCAGCTGTACTCGGCCTGGGCGTCGTCCGTGAACTTCACGCCGCCCACGACGATACCAGCATCCTCGAGGCGCTGCCAGGCCGCGAGAGCATCGGTCTCGCCAGAACACGACACTCGCCCCAGCCCGAACGCGGAAGCGAGCATCGGGACACGGCAATGCAAGGAGCACCACGCTGACCACAGGGCTGCGTCAGCTACGGCGCCCTCGCCCTCGCGGCGCAAACCCAAGCCCCCGAAGGCGCCGCAAAAACGCATCTGTCGCAGCGCGCCTTCGTCCAGCCGCCGGGCGATCACCGCGTGCTGCAGCGCCTCCTCCAGCGCGTTACTCACAAGCTCGGCCACTGCGCCCAGCACCGTAGAAGGTGCCAGCCGCGCGTCGTAAGAAAGAGCATGAGCAACGGATTTGGACAGAAGCGACCACGCCAGGTGGACAGCTGTGACAGCGGGCTGCGCGGCCGCGAACTCCTCCACGCGCCACGCCAGCGCGGCCGCCTTGCGGGCCCTTGCGCGAGCGGGGCCAAGCAGCAACCCGTCGCACCCGACCTCGGCAACGAACTCGCCCTGCACCTCTCATTTTCCGTCGCCGCTGGCCCCTCTTCCCCGTCACTTCCGGAGGGCGCGCCGCTGGATGGCCCCAAGGGGGGGGGGGAACCCCCCCCCGCCCCTTTCCCCGATCCGTTGTCGGGGACTCCCCCCTCCCCCCGTTTCCCGGTCCGTCGTCGGGACCCCCCCCCTTCCCCCCCTTTCCCGGTCCGTCGTTGGGGACCCCCCCCCGTCGTCGGGGACCCCCCCTCCCTCCTTTCAAAAGGGGGGGGGGGTCCGAACACCCCCTCCGTCTCCTCCCTTTTGGCCGCAGTGCCCCAGGGGGGGGGGTCCAACCCCCGTCCTCCCCCCTTTGGCCGCCAAATGCGAATCCCCTCCCCCCTCCCCCCCCTTTCGCCACGGCGCCCCTTGGCTCTGGATCCCGACCCCTGCCACCCCTAACGCTACCACCCCGACCACCCGTAACCCCAACCCCAACCCCAAACCCGAACCCGAGCCTTAAACAGTACTCAATACTCAATGTTTCCTACTCGCTACCCACTACTCACTACTCGCTACTCACTACTGACATCCCACTACGCACTGTTTACTACTCACGACTCACTACCCACTACCCATTCCTCACTACACTACTCACTACTCACTACTCCCAACTCACTACTCAATACACAATATTCATGAACATTACCCAATACTCACTACTCACTGGACACTACTCACTATTCATTAATCACTACTCACTACCCAGTAAATACTATCCACTACGCACGAGTGAAAACTCACAATTGACTACTCACTACTCACTGCCCACGAATCACTGCTCACTATCCGCTGCTGGCTAATCACTACTCGGTACCCCTTACACGGTACTCACTGCTCACTACTCGCTACTCCCTTCTCGACTCGCTACCCGATACGGCATTTTCACTACCCACTACGCACTCCTCGCTACTCAATACTCACTACTCCCTATGCCCTACTCACTAGTCGCACGTCGCTACTAACTGCTCACTACTCAGTACCCACTACTCACGACTCACTACTCACTACTCCCTACTTTCTACTGGCCTACGCACTACCAACTACTCACGACCCATTTCTCACTTCTCACTATTCACTAACATCACTACTCCTTACCCACTACTCGCTACTGGCTACTCACAACTCACTACTCCCTACGCGTTGCTCACTGCTCCCTAGTCACTACTCACTACTGACTACTTCCTCTCCGCTACTCACTACTCCAATGCCCTCCTCGCTACTCACTATTCACTACTCGCTGCTCCCTACTCGGTACTCACTACTCACCGCCCACTCCCCACTCCCCAGTACTCACTTCTCACTACTCGCTAGTCACTACTCGCTACCCCCTACTCGCTACTCACTACTCCCTACTCACTACTGATTACATCCTCCTCATTACTCACAACTCACAATGCCCTACTCGCTACTCACTATTCACTACTCGCTACTCCCTACTCACTGCTTACTACTCACTACCCACTCCCCACGACCCACTATTCACTACTCACTACTCAGTACTTACTTTGCACTACTCCCTACTCAGTACGCATTACTCACTCCTCACTACTCGCTAGAATCTACTTATTACTCACTATTCACTACTCACTACTCACTAGTCTCTACTCACTACTCACTACTCACTATCCCGAGGCCAGGCCCCCCCCCTTGCGGGAGAGGCCGCCTCCCCGGCCCACTGTTCGGCGCAAAGCGGGGGAGGGGGGGAGGGTTCGACCCCCCCCCCTCCAGCGCCAAGGGGGGGGGGGGGGGGGAGAGGGGGGTTCGGACTCACCCCCCCTTCAGGGAAGGGGGGGGGGGAGACCATCTCACCCCCCTTTGAGGGGGGGAGGGGGGGTGGGGTTCTGCGAGCACCCCGCCCCATGCAACAATTACAGGGTCATCCACTGGCGCGCGTTCTCACTTCCGTTCACCCTCCTCATCTTCGACACCCGCATTTCCATTATTTTCCTAATCAATCCTGCTTCACCTCCTCTAGTCTTCCGTCCACCAAGTATCCGCCACCATGCCTCTGGGCATGGAGTGGGCGTGTCCGCAAGTCCTTCGCCTAATCCCTTAAGCCTCAGTCCTGCATCCAGAAGAGTCGTTCAAAGGGCACGGACCCCAAGTTGCCAATGCTCCTGGGGCTTGGCGCCGCTTGTCGGGGGATTCCCGCGTCTTGTCGCGTGAGTTTCTCGGAGCCAAGAAGGCCCCAAGAGGCCGTCAAGACGGTCCTAGTGGGTCCCGAAACGCCTAGATCGTTCCACGAAGCCCAAGATGGCTCCAAGATGGTCCAAAATGCCTGCGAGCAGGTCCAAGAGAGCCCCAAGAGCCTTCCCAAGAGGGCCCGGAGAGGCCAAAGCCATTGACTCTCCGAAAAAATTGTTCGATGAGTTCGGGGTTTTCGACTTTGCAAGCCGCCAACGCTTCAAGACGGCCCGAGAGGCCCCCAGGACAGCCCCAAGAAGACCCAAGAGGCCCCCAGGAGGGCCCCACATGGCCCAAGAGGGCTCCAAACCGTCCCAGGAGACGCCCAAGACGTCCAAACAGGGCCCATTACTCTTCTTTCCTGCTCCCCTCCACCTACTCCTCCTCCTGCTTTCGGTGATTATCCTGTCTTCATGCCTCATCTTCCCAGGACACCTCCCACCAGCCCCTATCCTGCGCCCTCTAATGCTCCTCATTCTCACTCATCATGCTCCCCTCCCCTCCCCTCCCCCCTGCGCCCCCCAGCCACGACCACTCTCCCCCCCCCTCCCACGCGCCCGACGTGCGACCAATCCATTCTATCCCCCCCTAAGCCTCCACCCTCTTCCCAAGCCCCTCCACCTCGCCGTCGCCGCCCTCGACGACGACGCTGCTGTCGTCGCCATCGGCGCAGCCGTCGTCGACGCCGTCCTCGTCGTCGTCGTCGACCTCTTCGAGGTGCGTCGTCGTCGTCGTCCTCGGCGTCTTCGTCGACGTGCGTCGCAAGCGTCGCCGTCATCGTCATCGTCGTCGACGTCGTCGACATTGTCGACGTCGTCGCCGTTGTCGTCCTCGCCTTCGTCGTCGTCGTCGTTAGCGTCGTCATTGTCATCGGCGTCTCGTTCTCAGCTTCGTCGTCGCCGTCGTCATCGGCGTCGTCGTCGTCGTCACCGTCCCCATCGTCGTCACTGTCGTCGCCGATGTGCGTCGTCGGCGTTGTCGCCATCGTGGTCGTCGTCGTCGTCGTCGTCGTCGTCTTCATCGTCGTCGTCCACGTCACCTTCGTCATCCTCAGCATCGTCGTCATCCTCGTCGCTGCCGGCGTCAACGTTAATGTAACCACCGTCGTCACCGTCGTCGTCGACGTGCGTCGTTGGCGTCGTCGCCGTCCTCGTCGACGTCGTCGGCGTCGTCGTCGACGCCATCGGCGTCGTCGGCATGAGTCGTCGTCGTCCTCGTCGACGCCATCCTCGTTGTCGCCCTCGTCGTCGTCGTCGTAGTCGTGACCGTCTTCACCGTCGTCACCGTCGTCGTCACTGTCGTTGTCGACGTGCGTCGTCGTCATCGTCGTCGTCGGCTTCGGCGTCGTCGATGTGCGCCGTCGATGTGCGCCGTCGTCGTCGTCGTCGTCGTCGTCGTCGTCGTCGTCGTCGTCGTTAGCGTCGTCGTCGACGTCGTCACCGCCGTCTTCGTCGTCAACGACGGCTACGACGGCGTCGTCACCGTCGTCGTCGTCGTCGTCGTCGTCGTCGTCGTCGTCGCTGTCGTCGTCGTCGTCGGCGGCGTCGTAGTCGGCGTCGTCGACGCCGCAGCCGGCGGCCTCGCCAACCGCAGTGCCTGGCGTGCCGTCGATGTTCAGAGCGCTGAAGGTGGAGTGGTCGCCCCGCGCCGCCTGCTGCTGCGCCCTGCGCTTCGCCTCCCCGCCAACGCGCACGCGTGCGCGGGCAGCTCCACGCTGCGCGGCGGAAGAGGCGGGCTGGGGTATGGTTGTCGGGTCAGATCAATGACGTACTTAATTACGTACCCCAGCAGGGATCAGGAAACAGGCAATGATATTCACACAAACTTTCGGAGGCCCTCGCGCACAATCCTCGGATCGGCGCTGGGGCCCCCCTGCGGCGCCTCCCCGGTGCGCGCCAGGGAGGGAGGGCCCAGCGCCGAGACGAGAGATCCTCGCGGAGCTCCGAAAGTTTACGTTTATGCTTTATGCCATTGTCAGTTGCCAGAGCAAAGAATTCCTGTTTCATATGTTCTTAGTTGTCAGTTGCCATGCTTTCTATTATTGATAATTGTCACTTGCCATGCTCGTGTCATTGTCTGGCCCCCGGAGTCAGCCACCAGAGCAAAGAACCCCGATGGCAGTAAAGGCGAAGAGGCGGGTCGAGGAGTGGGAGGTCGAGACGTGGCCACGTGTGCCTTAATGTATCTGTCGGGGATGGACAGACCCCCCTTTAGTAAAACGTGGTTTAGTGAAAACGACCTGAGGCCCAAACCTGGCGGGCGCAAGCCTGGAAGATAACGGACACGGCGCCCTCTCGAGAACCGAAAACGGACAATTCACTAATCGACGTGTGACTGTTTGGGGTTCTGTCCACCCCCGAATCTGGTGCAAAAAAGATCGTGGCCGCCCGGGCCAAACATGTAGACGGTGGTGGAGCGGGGGCACGGCGCCTGAACGAGCTGTTGGGGCTTCTCCGGCGAAGCGGCTGCCAGACTGGGCGGTCATAGGGCCCACGTCGCCCTTGTGAGAGTCCCGTGGTCCTGTTTTGCTGCTCCTTCCAAAAGCCCTCCACGCTCCTAGGGATTGAGACCAGGACTACCGTATTCGGCCTGACATAAGGAACGATAAAGAAGGAACGAAGTCCCTTTTTTCACCAAGGAAATCTGGGAAGTCCGAAGAAACACCAGGGGGCTCGCCGCCAAAAAGGTAGCGGAACGCATGCAAACCAAAGGAACGACCGAGCCCCTTCTGCAGAGTATAAGTGCTCCTTGTTCAAGCCGAACCCTGTAGGACAAAAGCGGGCTGGGACACCTCGGGGATCTTTGAGACGTGGCGGCTCTGAGGCAGCGTCCGTCGCCGCGGCCGTTCCAGAGCGCACCGAGGAGGAGGAGGAGGAGGAGGAGGAGGAGGAGGAGGAGGAGGAGGAGGATCTCGGGGGCACCAAGGGGCACAGATCCTGCTACCCCCCAGGACCTCTCCGACGCTCGGGCGCTCGGCATCGTTCCTCGGGCCCCTGCCACGAGCCCCTCCCGACCCGACCTCTCGAGGCACACCCCGCCACGGCGCCGAGAGGCCCCTCTTGGAGGCCCCGGTGGGCGCAGCTCCCGGACTGCAGCCCGAGGCGAAACGAGCCCGGGGACAACGACAACCTCGGATGACCTCCCCTCCTCCTCCCCCTCCTCCTCCTCCTCCTCCTCCTCCTCCTCCTCCTCCTTTCGATCTTCCTCATCCCCTTCTCCTCCTCCTCCTCCTCCTCCTCCTCCTCGTCCACCTCCTCCTCCTGATTTTCCTGCCGCGATCGGTTTCCCCGCCCCCCCCAACCCCCCGAGAGGTCCCGTGGCCCTCGGGGCGCCGGGGCTGCAGGCGCGCCGTGGCGCTCCCCGACATCCGGCGTCGTGATCTGTTCAGGACGTGGCTCCCCAAAGGCCAACGCCACTTCCACGTGACCGGCTGTGCATTCTGAGCAGGTGCTTCCTAGCCGGGGGGCCCCCCCGGAGGCCCGAAGCGGCACAACACCCTGCGTCGTGACCTTCCTCGACGCGAGGATGTCGGGGATGACGCGACTGGCCAGGTACCTCTACGGCTCCTCCCCCGACCTCTCCAGAGCGCGCACGGACCAGCACTTCGAGACGAGCCCCGTCGTGGCGACGGGGGAAAGGCAGCGACAGCGGCGTACGGTCGGGACCGCTCGGATAGCGCGTCGCGCGCTGGCTCCGGCGGCACGCCGCGCCCGGCAGGCGGACGGCCTGCCGCTCCGCCCCGCAGGGCGGCAGGCCCGGGAGGAGAGCTCGGGACGCGGACGCCTCGGGAGAGCTCGGGGCGACGCCGCCTGGGGACCTTGGGAGCGTCTAGCGCGTCGTGCCGAGGCGCGGCGCGCCGGAGCCGGCGGAGCAGGGCGCCACCCTGCAGTCCTCGCGCTGCCATGAGGGACGCTGCGTGCAGCAGGAGCCCGACCACAAGAGACCTTCCACAGGAGACCCAGCCCTGAGACCCCAGGACGATAACATCGACTTTTTTGGTGCGGGTACGTCACGCTTGCCACGACAAAGCCATGTAACCTCGAGACGCCCGGGGCACCCTGGAGGCAACCAGGGTGTGTGTTGGCATGGGTCTCCACTGAAAGGGACGCTGAAATAGGGGCCGAAGGAGCCACGGCGTGCCTCGCCGAAGAACAGAGCCTCTCCTGAGCCAAAAGTGGTCCTTACGTGGGCAGGTCCTTGGGCAACACAGGCATGAGCGCGGGATTGTGCTTTGCGGGAGGGAAGGAGAGAAGGAGGAGAAGGAAGAGGCGTAGAAGGAGAAGGAGGAGGAGGAGCCGGAGGAGGATGAGGAGGAGACGGAGGCGGAGGAGGAGGAGGGAGGCAAAAGGAGGAGGAGGAAGAGGGAAAGGAGGAGGAGAAGGAGGGAATAAAGAATGAGGAAGAGGAGGAGGAGGATGAGGAGGAGGAAACATGCAGAATGAGGGAGATGCGGTGCGGAGGAGGAAAGGGAGGCGGAGGAGGAGGAGGAGGAGGAGGGGGAGGAGGAGAAGGAGGGAGGCAGGAGGAGGAGGGAGGCAGGAGGAGGAAGAGGAGTCTCCCTCTCCTTCTCGCCCTTCGATCCACGAGGCCCCCCCCCCCCGCTGCCCCTCCAGCAGCAGGGGCGCCGCGCCCCCCGCCGAGTCCGACCCGAGCCGCAGCACGCGCAGGAGGCGGGCCTGGCAGGGCGGCGGGGCGAAGGGGCGCCGCTGCTGCTCGCCGTCGTCGTCCCTCGCCGTCGCCGCCGTGGCCCTCGCCGCCGCCGCCGTCGCCCTCGGCGTCGCCGGCGCCGTCGCCTGTCGCCTGTCGCCGTCGCCGTCGCCGTCGTCGCTGGCGGAGGGCCCTCGCGCGCGCACGGCCGGCTAAGACGTGCGCGCCGGTGGGACGCCGTGAGGTCCTGCAGCCCTGGCGCGCTGTCGGTGCCTCGCTGTCCTGGGGCCCTGCTTTGCGCCCGCTCGCCAGGGGCACGCTGGCACGCGCGCGGAGCCGCAATGACGTGCCGCTGCCACGCTCTCGTGTGTGTGCGTTGCTGCGCTTCTGCTCTGAACACACCTGTGGCGGCAGAGAGCTTGGCAGATCAAATCGGCAAAATGCAGAAACAAGTGCGAACTCTGGGTGGGGGACCGCACTGGGAGTTTCGACGCAGTGTTGGATGGGGGAGGGGGGGCGCTGTAGCGAAAGATGACCCCCTGACGAGGCAGTCCCATGGAGCCTGCGATGTGATCCACAAGGGCTCGCTGAAACCCATGGTCGCTTTCGTCAAGAATGCGCCAGGCGGTGCCTACCGTGTGGGGTTCGCATATTTTTCATACGACAAACCAACCATTTAGCCCGAGTCGCGCCATTCAGGCGGACGACGCTGGCGATTCCGCCCGAATAAGCGGGACTGACTGGAATTACGTAATAGGGGAGGACCATCTCCTTTTCCCCAGCAGCAAAGCAAGGCTGGGAGGGGCAGGCGGAGAGGAGGGGGAGAGGGAGGGGAGGGGGAGGGGGAGAGGAGGGGGAGGAGGAGATGCGCGTGGACCGGCCGCCCTCGTCGACCCCAACTCCACCCCGTCAGCGGCGAGATCCCCATCTCCCCTCCCCTCACCTACCCAGACACGGCGAGCACGTTGGGAGCGGGTGCCGCGAGCCAGAGGTGGCCTCCCAACACCCCATGGAGAGGAGGAAAGATACTTGGAGGCAACTTCCGTGAAGTCTTCGTCAGAACGGTTGAAGTTATGGCAAGCCCGATTAAGCCGTTTCAGGCTGGATTGAGCCCAGGAAAAAGCAAGATAAAGCGGGAATCAACCGGCGTAAGCTGGACAAGGCCGGACAAAGCCCGATTCAACGAGATTGGGCTAGTTTCCGACCAAGGATATGCCAGCGTCCAGTCTAAGTTAAACCTCTCAGGAGCTGCATCGTAAAGAAGGGAAAGGTAAGGAAAGGAGAAGGGAGCGTACGGCAGGTTGATGTCGTGACGACCCCTGTGTTGAATTCTGGCACAGCGTGGAGCATTCAACCCTCAACGGCCAACGACTGTTCGATTGTCAGACCGTTCCATAGTTGTTAGTCCAGAATAGTCCAGAACCACGAGCGGCGTTCAATCCTGGACCCTCGCGCTGGGGTCGCAGCCGCATCTACACGACACGTACCTACTGCAGACGGAGAGCAGAGAGACCTCACCTCCCCTCCTCCTCCTCCTCCTCCTCCTCGTCCTCCTCCTCCTCGATCCTCCGCCTCCTCGATCCTCCGCCTCCTCCTCATCCGCCTCCTCCTCATCGTCCTCCTCAATCCTCCTCGAGCCTCGATCCTCCCATCTTCTCCTCTCTCTCCTCCTCGCTCATCCTCGCTCCTCCTCGCTCCTCCTCGATCCTCCTCCTCCTCCTCCTCCTCCTCCTCCTCCTCCTCCTCGCTCCTCCTCGCTCCGCCTCCTCGCTCCTCCTCGCTCCTCCTCCTCCTCATCCGCCTCCTCGCCCCTGGCTCCTCCCTGGCCCTCCTCGATCCTCGCTCCTCCCCTCCCCCGCCCCGCCCACCCTGCATTCCTCCGGCGGGCCGCGCCGCCCCCCCCCCCGGGCGGGAAAAACGGAGGCCTTCTCGGCCTGGCGCTGCATGCTCGCCGCCGTGAGGCGCTGGGGCAGGGCGTCCTGAAGGCGCCGCGGGCAGCGTGGGGTGGGTGGCAAGGAGGGGAAGGAGGGGGGATGAGGAGGAGGAGGGGGAGGAGGAGGAGGAGGAGGAGGAGGAGGAGGAGGAGGAGGAGGAGGAGGAGAGAGGAGGAGGAGGAGGTGGAGGAGGGTGAGGAGGAGGAGGAGGAGAGAGGAGGAAGAGGAAGAGGTGAGGGAGGAGGAGGAGGAGGAGGAGGTGAAGGGAGACGTAAGACTTGGGTACGGGGGACTCGGGTTGGCCTGACGGGGGCCATCATACAAATGACGGGACTGTCAAACCCAAGACGCGCTCGTCAAAAAAAAGTCGGCAGACCCGAATTCCGGCTTACTGGAGTCTTACGTTTTCCCGAGAGGAGGTGGAGGACGAGAGATGAGAAAGAGGAGGAGGAGGCTAGGTTCGCTCGCGACCCATCTAACATCCTATCCCTCTCTCCCATCCCTTCCCATGGCGCTGATGTTTCTCAATCCGCGGACGCGTGTCGTAGCAGACCTGCGACTCGCACAGAAAGACCACTTCGTGCCATCTGCAATCGGCGAAAGTGGAGGTTCGTGCACAAGAGAAGGATGTGGCGGGTGAGCAGGAGGATGAGCGGGAGGAAAAAAACCAAAGCACACGAAAGATCATCAACGGTGCTGGGATAAACCCTCCCTCTCAACTCCCTCTGCATAGGCCTCTACGCGGATTCATTTCCACTCAAGGAATGCCCCGTCGGGAGATAAAGGTTGGAAGATCATGGAGCGTGCCGGAACGTCGTTCTCGGGATCTCAACGCAACGATCAACTTTACCGTTGCGTCTTGTCGGTCCTAAGTTGTGCCAGAACGGCTTTCCTGGGACTTCAACATCGCGAGTCAACGTAACTGCTGCGCCCTGACATTCCTGAATCGTTCTACAGCACCGTTTCTGGAACGCTAGCTATATGAGACCTGCAGACCCTTGAAATTTGCGGATCGCTAAGGCAAGAACCACATATTGAAAAGGAACCGCCGCCAATCCGGGGGCGCTCTTGCAAAGTGTAAAGACGGATGTGCGCGGCGCTCAAGCGAGAACCACATTTTGAAAACGGCCCGCCCTCAATCGGTAAATACGTTGCTCTTTGTGATGTAAGTGCGCGGCGCTAAGGCGAGAGACGCACTTTGAAGAAGACCCGCCCTCACTTCGTGAAACTCTTGAAACTCAGTGCGAGGAGTGATCGGGGTGCCAAGGCAAGAGCAACATTTTGGAATCGACGCTCCCTCCATCTGAGATCCTGTTGTCAATTTTTGAGCCTCAAGACCATCAATGGAAAGGACATCTCAAGCGAAACACCAGGCCAGCCCTTCCGAATGGCCTCGGTGAACCGGAAGTGGCGGGAGGGAAAGAAAAACGAGGGGAAGGCAGAGGAGGGGAAGTGAATGCGGCGACAACGACAAAAAGAGACTCGGATTCCAAAAACAGGGCCCGCGCTGGGGCGAGACGAACAGCAGCAGCAGCAGGAGCTGGAGTGGAGGGAGCGGGAGGAGCAGGAGGACCAGGGGAAGGCCGATGAGGAGAGATGATGGGGACCAGGACGAAGCAAGACGCGGATTTAGAAGAGTGGACCGCGCTGGGGCCAAAGCGCCAGTCTGCACAACGGGAGCAGCGCGCCAACCCAAAAATGAGGCACTCGTTTTTGCGGGAGCACCACATCGAAACACCGAACAAGTAATACAAGACCATGCCGAACATCAATATTTAGAATCCTGTGTTTGACACAAACATCGCGTGGAGGGGGCGGGAGACCTTCCAGGCAGCTTCTTCAGGGGAGGAGGGCGAGCAGCATTCATATTGTTGAATTGTGGAGGGGGAAGGTTTTCCTAGAAGGAGGCTGCTTGTGCCGTACCCCCCAAGGCGCGCAAAAGTGTGACGGAGCTGAGTGGACTGCCGTTGCGGTAGCGATTAGTTGGATGCTGAGGCGAGCAAGCTGCACGAGACAGGTGACAGCCAGGTCACCCCCGCCTTTGGCAAAGGCTGTGGCTGCCTACGCTGCATATAATGTCGCACACAACTAGCACTGGCAAAAAAAAAAAAACATCGACCTCCGAAAAGTACGCTATCCCACTGAGGTGATCCCCTCGCGAGGTCCCCATTCTGTGAAAGGTGTCCCCCTGCGGGGGGCTTCTCCGGCGCAGCCTATACGCCCCAGGTGGGGGGACGCCGCGTCGGAGGGGGGCTGGCGGCGCCACATCTAACACTGCCTGTACAACGCCAGCCGCTTCCCAGCTTGAACACTGCATGCATGTTCGAGAGGATGCAGCCCCCCTGCGCGCAATGATACCCACGATCTAAACCAAACAAGCCTGGAGCCCGTTGTAAAACGGACGCCGTAGGGAGAAGGGGGGCGAGCTAGGCAGGAGCGGTCCACATCGAATCGGGAAATCGGGTCGGGCGTCGATTCGGACCGTATCGGCACGGAGTCGAGAGGAACCGGATCGGCCGCGCAGGGAACCACAGCAGCGCATGTAAGCACTGGGTTGTATCGGATCCTCGGAATCGAAGCGGATCGACCTGGCGGAGATCGGCATCGAATCGGTCGATGGGGTAGATATTGGCCCTGAGCTAGGAGCGCTCGCGCCATATCTGACATCCTACCCCATCCATCCTCCATCCCTGCCCATGGAGGGTTCTTAGATGTGGTTCGAGTAGATTGAGTCGGAGGATCGCGCCGCTTCGCCGATGTATCGGCGATGCATCCCCGATACCCCAGCGACGTCGGCGATGCATTGGCGATGTCGGCGTGGAGACAGCCAGACTCCACATCGCGCAGCATCGCCGATGCATCGGCGATGCGCCGCGATCCTACGACCCCATCTACAATAGGGGCCCGACCACCAGAAACCTTCCACAAGAAACCCAAACCTGAGACCCCATGACTTCCATTGATTTTTGCAATGGGAGCAAGACGCAGGACCCTGAGATCCCAGGGTGTCCATCGCAAGACCATCGAAACCCAAGAAACCCAGGGCACCCTGGAGGCAAGCAGGGTGGGTGTCTCTTGGCATGGGCCCCCACTGTACGACCCCATCTACTCCGACCCCATATAAAAGGTCCAGATCCTCGTTTCGCTGCTCCATTCTTCATCCGCCGACGACGGGCCGAGCGAGGAAGAGGACCGAGGGGGGGGGGGGGGGGGGGGGGGCGGGGGGCACGAGGAAGAATCAGGCCGTGGAGGAACCCGAGGGAGGGCGAGAAAGGCCAGAAGGGGGGGGCGGGAAACGGACGACGGCGACGAGGGGGGGGGGAGGGGAAGCAAGGGAGGATACAGGATGCACTGCCCGTTTTCCTTCAACTGCTCCCCTGCCCTTCAAGCAGCCCCTTCCTCCTCCGCCACATCGTTCTCATCACCCCCATCCCACGTTGCCTATTTCCCATCCCCGTACACCTCGAACCCTCCTCGCCCTCACCCTCCTCCTCATCCTCCTCCTCCTCGTTCTCCTCCTCCTGTTCTGCTTCACTTGTTCACGTGCCCTTGAACCCTCCTTCTTCGCATCCACCCCTTCCTCATCCTACTCTGCCGCCGGCGCCTGATCCTCCCCCGCCTCCTCATGTTTAGAGAAACAGGGCCGAACGCTCACTTATTGTCCCTGGGCGCGGGGGTGAAGCGGGGTTATGTGGTGCGGACTGTTGCTGTTGCGCTGTTGATATGGCTGTTATTGTTGTTGCTGTTGTTGTCGTTGTTGTTGCTGTTGTTGTAATTGCTTTGTATCCGCGGCCCACCAAGCGGTCCACCCGCGACCCACCCACACTGCTTTGACGAAGAAATCTGCGCCTGCGGCGGCTAGTTTGTTCGTGCTGTGTTGTGTTGCTTATACTGTTGAGTGGAGCAAACAAGCACTAACAACAATTTACCCAGTGGTGTACCTAGTCCTTTCTAGGCACATGGCGAAAACATTCAGAACCACTCACTACAAACAGACATGTTGACTCGCATTGTGCATGAGCTCCCAAACATATGCAACATCAATGACTACCTACCAGACCACCCCAACCCAACCCGAAGACCCGAATTTGACCCGAATTTCGGGTTGGGGGGGTACGGATATCATGTGTTTGTTCAACGTCCCCCGACCCCCCCCCCCCAACGGAAATGGAAGGCAAATTGAGGGCTTCGGGTTGGGTTGGGGTGGTTTGGTGGGTGGTGAATCAACACTCCGTCCGAACTCCCAAGAACCCACGAAAGTGGTGCCAATTTCACACTCCGCATCCCTCCAGGGAGCCGCGAGGTCCCAACTGGGTCCCCGTACCACTTCGCTCCGCACGACCCCCCTGGAGCCCACGAAAGTGGCAGCATGTTCACACTCCGCAGCCCCCCAGGGAGCCGCGAGGTCCCAACTGGGTCCCCGTACCACTCCGCTCCGCGCGACCCCCCTGGAGCCAACGAACATGGAGATACATTCACACTCCGCAACCTCCCCGGGAGCCGTGAGGTCACAACTGGGCCCCCGTACGACTCCACTCCGCGCAACCTCCAAGGGAGCCGCGATGTCCCAACTGGGTCCCCGTACCACTCCGCTCGCGCGACCTCTCAAGAGCCCAAAAAAGAGGGGCCAATTTCACACTTCGCACCCCCCCAAGGAACCGCGACGTCCCAAGTGGGTCCACGTACCACTCCACTCCGCGCGACCTCTCAAGAGCCCACGAAAGAAGGCGCCAATTTCACACTTCGCAGCCCCTCAGGGTGCCGCGTGGTCTCAACTCTGGGTCCCCGTACCACTCCACTCCGCGCAACCTCCAAGGAGCCTAATTACGAACGTGGCGGCAAATTCGCACTTCGCAGCCCCCCAGGGAGCCGTGAGGTCCCAACTGGGCCCCCGTACGACTCCACTCCGAGCGACCTCCCAGGAGCCCACGAAAGTGGCGACAGGACGCAGGAGTGGAGAAGAAGAGGGAGTGTCTGCGTGTCTCCCCACTCCGCTGGACCTCCCAGGAGGCAGGAAGCATGAGGCAGGAGGGGGAGGAGGAGGA